TTTTTTTTTGGGGGGGGGGGAACCGGGGATTGAACTCAGGCCCTTGCACTTGCCAGGGAAGCGCTTATTCCACTGAGCCATCTCCCCAGCCCCTCAATACTAAGTACTTTTAAAATAAAATTAAGTGCATTGATTTAGGTACTAAATTCTTGTCACTTTGAACATCAACTCCACAACTTCAGCTAAATTATAGCTGTCTTATATTTAAGCATATTTTATCTATCTTCATTGTGGAAGGGAATGATTAAATTTTTTTGTTACAGTTTATAACTACTACAAATAAGCCATTATTTAAAATAGCTCTACTTGAAAGGAAAGTACTTTCACAATGTACTATCATTTCAAACTTCTTGCTACTGTAATATAAAGGACATAAAGTATATAAGTAGCAGGCCAGCCAAATAGTTCAGCAGACTAAAGCACCTACAAGCAGACGCAGGGGACAGGGTTCGATTCCTGGGCCTGCAGTGCTGTCTCTGCCCCACTCCCAGGGCTCACTGAGGCTGCGATTGAGACTGGGCGTGGTGGTGTGCACCTATAATCCCAGCACTTGGGAGGCTATAAGCAGGAGAATCATTACAGTCTGATCTAGTAGTGAGACCCTAAACACCCTATAGACTGTATTTCCCTAAAATACAGTACAAAAAAAAAAGTATACAAGTACCTATAAAGTATTTGGCTCAGAAAGTACTATTCAAAGGGTTACAATTATATCCCCATAATCAAAAAGCAGTAAGCCACACAGCCAAGCCTCTTTCCACCAAAATACAACACTTACTGGGGGAAAATTAAATGGCATACTAATTGTTCAGTTTCTCAAACAAAACACAGAATAAACACATTTTAAAGCAGTTGGTCAGCTTCTTTCAGTTAAACATCCTTAACAAGTGACCCAATCATTTCAGTCCTAGCTTAGCTGAAATGAAAGCATGTGTCAATATACTGATTTGAAGAGTTCAACACAAATACTCATAACAGTTCACTGGTTAAAAAAAAAAAAAGGAAGACCTGATAAGTTCATGGTGGGTCAACAAAGTGATCTTTTAAAAAATGTATGCACATACTTGACACTGGATAATATTTCTTTCTCAACTGTTTTCTGAGAAAGAAAGCCACTCTTCATTTTCACTCGATAGGTGATGTTATGAAAACTTAACACAGCCCCTTCAGCAGATGCCTTCAGGTCACTGGAGGTCATCCCGGGGAGACCATTGGTGTTTCTTTGTGATAATGGAATACAAAACTGGTCATTACTGGAAGACATCTGGAAAGCTTCTGGTGTTCTGTTGAGAGAAAAGCAAGAGTAAATCGATAGGCCAGATAAATGAAGTTATAAACCCCACATAACAATACATTTAAGCCAAGTCTTTTTAACTGTGCTTCAATTTGCAGATTCCTTCCCCCTGAACAGCTCACGTCCCTGGGATAACTTTAGGCCTGACAACGAGAAGCAGATGCAGCTTTAAATACCTGCACTCCACTTAGAGGTCAAATGAATTACCAATACATACAAAGCATGGGATTACTTAATATTCATAGAAAAAGAAAACAACAAATGAGGTTAGGTTAGTTTCACTTAAAAAGTACATTATGATAAAATTTAGTTCAAGAAAAGGCTACACTCTCGTCATCACATCCCCTATATATTTTTTTAAATTTCAGTTTATAACACTGTTATTGCCACAGGTTGCCAAACGGTCTTAGTCCAGCAGCCAGAGACAGGAGAACTTTTTCTGAATTTAGACTACTAGATTTTATATCTATTGTGTACCTTGAATTGGCTACAAAGATAAATGCCAAAATTGTTTGCAATAATATAATCATTTCCTTAATCAGCAAACATTTAAATTCTACAGAAAGATTTAAAATTAAATATGAACATAATGCAGTAAACCAAGCTAACAGTTAAGTATTTCAAGGCATTAAAGCATAAACTGAATACTGAGTTTATAAATGAAGTTTAAGTTACAAGAAAATCACACAAGGGCATGCCACAGCAAAATGGACCCCAAAACTAAAATTTCTGAATAATTCTTTTTATGTCCCAAAATATTTAAAATACTCATTTTGGAAAGTGGAAAAGTAAGGAAACATTTATTATTTAGAGAGTGACACTCAAGATAGTAAATGTAAATAACTGCATTTGAACCTATAAACTCAATTAATGGCAGCGATTCGCCAAAACTTTATTCTTTTGAAGCAATACAAGTGAGGTCACAAGTAATGTATGATCTTGGTCTTAACCAGCCAGCAGAAAAGTATAAAACTGAAATATAAGAAGTAAAGCCATGCTGTTATGTTGAGTCTGGGGGACTCAGGTCAACAATTTCTGACATTGCCAGTGAAGCAGAAGAGCCAATACTATTATGGACTATTGGACTCTTTTAGAATATTTTGCTGAATTCATAACATCTATAATATTCAAATGATGAAACTAAACAAAAAAAGGGATACAGATGAATGTCCATTTTGTATCTGTGTATTCAAAATAGTTAGGATAGAAATATAGTTACATTCTCTTAATGAATAGAGGGATTTGTTCTAATAGTGTTTGTAAATAGGATATCATGTCTGCATCTTGTACAGCAAACAACCACTAGAAAGAGAGTATACAATGTGTTAATTATTGAAACTGTCCTACCAGTTTGATTTGAAACTGTCTCATTGCTATTTGTTTCTCAATAAAATTATGGAAAAAAAAGATTATTCTTTCTGTAAATATGCCACGTAAAAATAAAAATCCATTCATGCAAAAAAAAAAAAAAAGTAATGTATGAACTTTACGCCTTTAAAAACTCTGGAAGCCTTCTTTGCATGTCTTCAGAAATCAAAATATGCCAATTCCAACACCATCTATCACCTGCCCAACTCCCACCCTACTGAGGTTCAGCCACTGTAGACATTTCTACCTTTTGCCAAGACCTGAGGTTTTCCACTAATGAAACACATTTTCTAGAGAGAGTGCGGAGAAGAGCTGGGCCTGCTTCTCCAGGGTCCTCCAGGCACTCCGGACGATGGCAGTGGGCGACCTGGAGGTACGGAGAGTGGGCAGCGCCTCTGCCCTGTAGGCTCTTGGGTCCCGCACTGTCACTGCCCACTGTCTGGACCCAGGCTTTCAAGCAATGGGAACTGATTCTCCACTCCACCTTCATGACCTAATGGCGGCGGCAGCCTTGGAACTGCGATGCTTTGGGCTGTAGTCTCTGTCCCAACCCTGTCAGCCTAGGCGAAGTGCTTGCCAGCAGTCCAGGACCTGGCACCTTATAGCTGCCCAGATGGCTGCAGAAAGCCTTTACATCAAGGGCCCGGGAAGGCAGGACTGAAAGCTCCACCACTTAGGGCCGCAGAACAGCGTGGATCTGGGTGCTGGGGTGACTGTTCTGTCCCAGTTGGAAGACACTACACCCCTTGGCCACCTAGGCGAATAACAGCCTCACCAGCCCTGGAAGGTGAGAGAGCCCAGACAGAGGACAGGTGTAAGGGCTGGCGGGCTTCAGGCTGTTGCCAGAGAGAGAGAGAAACACTTAAAGTCACATTCCACAGTGGCCTAACTGGAAATGCCCACCGCCCCATGGGAAGATTTACTGGCCCTCTTGGAAGGCATGTGCATATAATGTGAAAAAGCTGCTCTTAATAGTCCCCCCAACCTTTTGAAAGAAAACTTGCTGCACGTGGATAGGATAGTTGTGAAGAGGTAGCTGACATATGATAAAGTTATCAGAAAAACTACATGTCTTGGAAACATCCATTTGTTTACGAAAGTGACAGAAAAGAAACGTCTTCTGGAAGTGACTTTTTTTGAAATGAAGTTTATTAGATTGGCTGGAGAAGCGACACTAGGAGTTGTAACTTGTCCACATCTGTTCTATGGATTAGAGGACACAAAGCAGAAAACAAGAGAAGGCCCAGTACCAGACCGGATACATGCACAAGATGTTTGTATTGTAACCACTATTTTGTGTGTGCATTTTAGT